GCACTGCGAAAAGAGAGACGTCTTTTCTCTCTTTTTAATTGCGTCCATCCCTCATTTTCTTTTTTCCTTTTCCCCCTTTCTCGACCTTGCGCGCCGCGCGGACACGGCGGCGTCTCGGTCGAAACAAATTTGGTGAGCGCGGTAAGCAGCACGCTGATGGCAGGACAGTGCTGCGTCGCTCTGTCTCTCTCGCACTCGCGGGCGAGGCGGGCCGGACCGACACCCATTCCAGGAAGGCCCCGAGGCGCGGAGCCCCGGACCCAACTCCGGCATCATTCTCACCCCAGCGAACCACTCTTCGCAGCCCGATACCGCCAGACCGGCCGAACCCCCGGACCCCGCGAGGCCCCGCCAGGCCCGGCCAGGCCAAGCCGAGGGCCAAGCCGAGGGCCAAGCCCGGCGCGCGGTGCGGTATTTTCCCTGCCAAAGTTGTGATCTCGAGCTGAAAAGAGCCCGCCTTTACATACTTAGCTGACTCGCGCGGCGTGCCCCCCCCCCTCCCCCTTACCCGTGCCATTCCTCCCAAATCCGACGCCGGCCAAAGAGCAATGCCCCAAATGGGGCCCCTCTCACCCCCTCCCGCCCCGCCCCGCCAGACACGCAGTCACTCAGGCATCGGCCATCAAATTATGAGGAGCGGGTTCGTCTTCATCTGGCGCCGCGGAATTTTATTATTTTTTGAAATAACCTTCCTGAGGAATCGTCATCGGTGTTCCCCGGCCTTCGATAGCATTCTTTTCGAGGCGGACTTTTCCATTGGCAGTTTTCAATCGAACGAGGAAGCGCCCACGATGGTGAAACTAACGAGTAGCCTGAAAGCAATACGTTCCTAATAGGGCCAGAACGATGGGTCCTAATGAAAAAGTGCGATCTCCAAACGACGCGCAAAGAAAGTTTGATCTCCTCTGGCCAGGCATAGATCGAGAAGACCCAGAGGCGGCCAGAAGAGGCGGTCAAAATCCCGGTCGCTAAATGGGACTCGAACCGAGCGTGTGACCCCACTAATGGATTGCTCTCCGAACGAGGAATCCATTGGTGGGGTCACACATTCGGTTCCAGTCCCATTTAGCGACTCTGGAGCTCAAAACGCGTCTATAGCTTTGGCCGCCAGCGCCGGTCTTCTGGCCCACTGTGGCTGCGGCTGCCGCGTCCAGCGTGTTGCCTATGCCCGACTCGGCGGGCGCGCTCGCTGCTCCCTGGCCTCGCGCTGCCCCGCCCCGCCCCGCCCCGCCCCGCCCCGCCCCGCCCCGCCCCGCCCCGCGTCACTCGAGAAGAGACTCCACCCACAACGCCACGCTTGTCGCGCTAGCTCGACCTCACACATCGGCCGATTCCGCAAATCAGAATTCTTAATGTCTCTCTCGCACTCACGGCGCCTCCCGCTCAGATGCGACAGGGAAAGCGGACGAAACGCTGCCCGCTAGCAGTCCGCAGTGTCCAAGGCAGTGCCTGCTTGACTCACCTTCAACCTCAGGACATCCTCGACAACCCGGCGTCTCCTTCGCCCATGCAAACCAGATTCCCGAAAGACCAAAATGAAGCAGGAAAAAGAAATGAGGAAGAAAAAACCGCTGGTGAAACGGTTCATTTTCCCTCGCCAGCTGGCCTCTTCCCTCTCAAAAATGACGGAAACATTTAACTGCGGAGCCCTTCATCACTCTTCATCACGCCTCATTCTTCACTCGGTGCCTGACCATCAGCACGCCCCGCCCCGCCCCGCCCCGCCCCGCCCCGCCACGCCCCGTCCCATCACGAGCGCTCCAGCACGATCCTGCGCGATCCGTTAGACGGCTATCCCCTCCAAATCCCGGTCCTTCTCGCAGAGCCCTGTCCCCCTCCCCCCTCCCCCGCGCTGTTCCAGGGTGGCATTATCCTCTTGCCGGCCCATTTAGTTCTTCCATAATCTTCGGCGGATTTTCTTCCGCACTGGCCGATGCCGCCGGCCACCTCCGCACCGCCACCGCCGCGGCGCGCCGCCTCCACATCATCCACTCACGCGCACCGCCCGCCCCCGCGCCGCCCCCGCGCCGCCCCCATCGAGCTTGCAGGTGCCCCGCCGTTTTTCTAGTCCCTCTCTCCACCGAGCTCGTCTCGTCTGCCTCCGCGTCATCGGGTAATTTCCAAGGCCATTTATTTCCCGGACACTAAGCTCGCGGAAGCGCCGCGCTGCCCCGCCGTGCCGCGCCCTGCCCCGCCTCCCCCCCCCGCCCCGCCCCGCCCCGCCCCGCCCCCCCGCCCCGCCAGCCCCGCCCCGCCCCGCCCCGCCCCGCTACGCCCCGCCACGCCCCGCCTCGCCACACAAGTCATATGGCCGCCGCGCTACGCCGCTGCGCCGCTCGGACTCGCCCGTTAGTAAACCCGAAATGAATGACCCGCCAGGAGAAATATATCCACACAGGGCCGAAGGCTTAATTGAAAACCAGGATTTAGCGTGTCACCTCTCGGCTCCGGGCCGCCAGGCCGCCGCGGCTAGCTTCGGTCGGCCGCCCCACTGTAGGGGTTGGGCCCCGCCGGGGGGAGGGGGAGGGGAGGGGGGCGGGGGGGCTCTCTCGCCTGAATACTAGGCCTGGGCCAGGCGGGGCGACGCGACCCGTCACACGGAATCATATCGTCTCGTCGTTCCGGCTGCCGCCTGCGATTCCGAAGGCTCGTTGCGTCGCTCTGTCTCTCTCGCACCCTTACGGCACGCCCCGCGAGCGCGACAGAGACGGAGCGAGGCGCGACTGGCCCGTCTAGCTGGCCCCGCCCTGACAGCGCCGCTGCCACCACTGCCGCCGAGCCACCGGCAGACTGAGTCGCTTTCGTCGCTCTGTCTCTCTCGCACTCCAGGGCGTCCCGTGTAGGTGCGAGAGAGACAGAGCGACGAAAGCGATGTTCAGAATGCTGGCAGTGCACGGCTGTCCGGCGTGCGTGCGGAATGATCAGCATCACCATTCGGCCGAAGTCCCCCCCCCCTCCTCCCGCCGCGCTTGTTCCGCCACTGCGAATCATATCAGCCGGAGAGGCGTGCCGGCGCATGGGGCGTTGCACTACGAACCGGCCAGTACACTGCACTGCATAATCACGGTGATTTGCATCAAGAAAGACGGCCAAAAATAAGTTCTTTTTTTTTCTATGACGGTTCTTTGCTCGGCTTCCTGCTACCCGGGCCGGTTGGGCTGCCTGCCTGCCAGGCAGTTGATGTCGGCTTTGATCGCTCTGTCTCTCTCGCACCGCTAGCGGACGCCCCATGAGTGCGACAGAGACAGCGCGTCGGAACGACTCCCCGGCATCAGCCTGCAGAGCCGATAACACGGTTGGAGACCACGGCCCAGGAGGACGCTGTGCTGCTGCAGACTGATTCCGAGGGTAGCTTTGGTCGATCTGCCTCTCTCGCTGCCGGGACGGCCCATGAGTGCGAGAGAGACAGAGCGACGAAAACGACTCTCGGAATCAGTCTGATGCTGCCATGCCCCATCGGACCCGGCCCCCGGCCTACGTCATTGGTACACCGCGGTGTGCAGGCATTCTCCTCCACCCTAGACCCTCCAACCTAGACCCTCCACCCTCCACCGTACACCCTCCACCCGGCACCCCACACCTTCAACCCTCCAGCCCGACCCCAGACCCTAGCGCACCGGCACCATGCCCGGCCATGCCCGGCCGTGCCGCGCGGCGGGACGCACACACGCGCACACAGCCGAGTCCCAAGCGTTTCCTCGCTCGAGGCTAGCTGGGACTGCTGGGGCTGCTGGGGCTGCTCGGGCTGTCAGGTGAGGGGGCCGGAGTCGGGAGTGCGGCCGCTCTGCTAATACCAACTCCAACTTGCTCCCATCCTTCTCCTGTTCGGGCTTCTTCAAACAGACTGCGCCGCACCCCGCCCCGCCGCACTGCGGCCCTTCAGTTGCACCCACACACCGCACCACGTTGACAAGCGAAGCGAACGGAGCGAGGCGGCACAGGCACAACACAGCAGACTGATTCCGAGAGTTGTTTTCGCCGCTCTCCCTCTCTCGCACTCGCGGGGCGTCCCGTGTAGGTGCCGGAGAGACAGAGCGACGAAAACGACTCTCGGAATCGGTCTGCAGCGACGCCAGGCCGCCTGCCAAGTTGAGGGTAGGCCACCCGTTCGACAGCTTGTGCGGCGTGCGGCCGACGGCGCGGGCCTCCCCCTCCCCTTCTCCCACACCCCCCGGCCAGCGAGATGAAGCGATGTGCCGCCGCCGGGAATCGAAGCCAGCAGCCAGCAGGCAGCACAGGCAGCGGGGGCGGTTTGGTCTGCAGTCTGCACTGCGCCATGCTGCGCCAGTTTCGACGTGTGATCCCGTCGGGCGGAAGGCGTGAGGTCTGGTCTTGCGGCCTGCGGATCCAAGTCCTGCGGGCTTTAGCGGCTGGACCTGACGAGTCGAGGACCGCGCTGGCGGTCAGCGCAGGTGCACCAGACAGTTTTATTTTCTGATGCAAGGAAAAAAAATCGAGATCCCTTTTTTTTAGGACTTCCCCTCCACCTCTTGCCGGCAGGCCGGCGCCGCTCTCTCTAAACGATTCGTTTGGTCCTTTGAGACGAATGGGTAATGCGACATCACTGCAGGAGAGTGTACCCGACCCTCTCGCTCCTTCTCCCCGGATTTCTTTCCCTTCCCCTGACACTTTTCCGCGGAATCTCTGCTTCAGCATCGGCCTCCCTCCGGCGCCCCCACCCCCTACTTCTTTTCCAACCCCGGTGTGAAGTGACCTGCCCCGTCTCATACCGTACCGTCGCGAGAAACAGTGTCACTTTTAGAAATGGGGCTCATTAGGGCCAAGATAAAGACGGAGGCAGCCACTTTACTTTCGTCGCCTTCATTCCCCGACGCTCCCTCCCCCTCCCCTCCGTCGTCCTCCACAACCAAGGCCAAAATTAACCACAGGCATGAATGTCCTCACCGTTTTTGCACTAACTTTCAGGTGCCAGAGAGTGGATGACTGCTTGCAAATACCCAGGAAGAATGAGACGGAGTTAAGAGAAAAGGAATCATATCCACTTTTTGCTTGTCAATTAGTTTATTTGTTTTTCATTCGTGAAAGAAAAAATGATAAAACTTGTGAAAGTGCAAATCAAGTGGAAAGTACATAAATCCACTGGTTTGCATGGGAATGAGATTGGATGTCTACAGTCCAATTGCGATGATCACAATGAATCCAAGCACCGTCACAGGCATATTTTGGTTCAATGATATCCCTTAACTAGAGAAAAAGTAGTTGACTACATAACAAAATAAATATAATGGCACACAATGTCTTCGTAAAATATGATGTACTGTATGTTAAAATATTTCACTTACAAAGGAAACCCACACATTGTTCTTGCAGAAAATCCTGCAGATCCTGAATATAACATCCATAACATCTTAAAAAATAAAACCACGGTGAAACAAAGAAAAACCTTGGTCAGCTAAATCAAATAGACAATCATTAAAATGCAAAGTTTAAAAATATAAATTTGAAACGACAAATTTTACACGATTTGATTTAGAATTTAAAAATCTAACATCACAAAACAATGTTAAAACATTCAATCACATGAGCAATGTTTAACAAGAAAAACAGTTTTCACAGAAATATGTGTTACAGGCACATGTTTAAGAAAAGAAAAAAAATCACAGACAAGTCATTCAAGACAGAATTACAACACAATAGCACGGAATTCAGTGAACTAAAGATGAAACTCAGTTTCTGATGCTTCAATCAATTTAATTAATTAAATTATCTGAGAACAGTCGGAGTTCCAAGTTCTATTCAGATTACATATATCACACTAATAAGAGCAAAAATTAATAAAGTCCTCAAAGAGAAGTAATTTTGAAATTGGATATTGTCCGTTTGTCAGCTGCACAGACAAATTCCTCACAAGCTGCCCTTAATTTGACTTTACATTAGGTTATAGAAAAAAGGTACACACAGTTCACAATTGCATTGTATCTAACACACCTTTGTTAAGGAATGAAAAATAGAGAAAAGCATCTACTGGTAACTGCATTGCAGCTAATCAGGTCCCTGGAATGGTCAGAAAAATCAAACCAATCATATCCACAATAATAGATATGGGTTATCATGTCATCATCCTGCAAGTCTGCATACTGTACATCAGTATCAAATTTGACGTAGAAAAAATAATTTGACACAACCTAGATTTTAAAATAAACAATTGAAGTCTTACAAATTAGTGGTCAAATCTATATATTTGAACAGATAACCTGTTCTTGGGGTAGTAAATGCGAATGATTTTGAATCTAGAAAAATCACATACACTTAGTAATAAAATTAATAATAATAATAAAATAGTAGTTTTCTCTGTCATGTACAAATTTCCTAAACTGGCTTCAAATTTTTCTGTTACCATGGCCAGTAGCAGGGTTTAGCCATCGATTCTGCAGAAAAGATGTCCAAAATTGCATTGTATGTTGAAGCTGTTCCACCAACAAGACCAATCAATATCAGCTCCCACATGTAGACTCGCATGTGCACCGGAATGAGTCTGCAAAAACAGGTTGATTAGCAGTCAACTCCGATAAGCTCTGCTCAAAAATTATCATTTTGGTTTAAACTCATATCTTACCTTTCAGGCCAGTCAACTCTTTTCTGGTCACATAATACCATGTAAAACAGTGGTGGGAAGACAAAAGTCAACAGTGTTATGGTTGATCCCCCAACCAAAGACAAGATTTTTCCAAATTTGGGCACAGTTTCACCGACAAAGACCATGATGCACATCATAATAGTCCTTAGCCCACAGCGTTTCAAACAAAACTCTAAAAATACAACACCATGTAATCCATTAGCAAACCATAAATTAAGCACTCTTTTTTTCTAAGCAGGAAGAGATGTGTAAATTTACCGTGTGGAACTTGAAAGATTTCCTCCAACTCTTGGCACACCGGATTGATGACAATGAGGAAAGCCAACACCAAATGGATGGCCATCAACACATTTGCCATGCTGACTAAGCTGCTGTGTCCAAGGGACAGAATAATATTAGGATCCACCAATTCACCGTATACAAAGTAGCCTCCGACGGCCACAGGGAAATAAAGAGCCATGATTGCTGAAAGAAAGAAGAGCATGATACGAACATTTACATTTATAATTGAATTTTGTCACCATTAGTTTACAAGCACCTTTGAGGGAACTTACTTGCAAATCCAATTAATATGCTTTTTGAAAACTGATGTTTTTCAGCCATGTCATTTTGAATGGTAGGGAAAGTTGATGCTCCTCCAAATGCAAAGAGTATGGTACCAAATGATAGGAAAAAGTTACTGAAGCCATGAGTTTTAAATGGAACAGGCTCTGTATTGTTCAAACCATCCATGACCATTTGGGCAAAGATGAATACGCACGCAAAAGCTGTAGTAAGAAGGGCTCCAATTCCAACAACCCTAAAAACAAGAGAATTTCAAAGATTTAAATCATAGCCAAGCTACGGACAAAAAATTGCTAATTTCCAGAAAGTTTTGAATTAGTTACTGCCTTACCAAAAATCTTTGGGAGATCCAAGCCACATTGGTACAGTAAGGAGAATGGCAATGAATATAAACCAGACACAAATTCCAACTTGAGGTAAAACATCACTCATCAAGTCTTGGAAAATTTGAGAAGCAAGCTGGAGGTACACAGTTCCAGCCCCAAATAATGTAAATTGAATGCAGCCTGATACAAGGTAGCTGTTGCAAAAAAAATCAGTTCTATGAATAAATTTCAAATTCAAACTAAAATGGGAAGTAAAATCAACCTTTTCATTACCTGCCCCATCTTCCAACAGCACGGAATGCAATTGTAGCATAGGGGTTCCGAACACGCTCTCTATACTCTGGGTATCTTTCCTCAACAATGGCCCAACATGCTCCAAGACGGGATCCTCCATAGGCAGCATTAAAGCAAAACACTACCAGCAAAACGATTCCAATCCATCCTGCAGTGGAAAAGAAACATGAACTCTGATAAGATAGGTGATCACATCTTCGTCCCGCAACTTTTTTTCAACAGCAAACAATGACTAGGAGAAAACAGATAACAACGTGAAAACTGTTAAGACTGACCTGCTTCAACCAATGCCCGTGGCAGGGCTAGCACACCACTGCCGGCCATCTCCCCAGCAATGAAGATAGCAGCAGAAGTGACATTGAGTCCTTTTCCAGTGCTGGATGAACTGCATTGAAGCTGAATCTGGAACAAATTTTTAAAAAATGTGTTTTAGACAGGGAAAAATACCCTGGGTCCTGGGTGAAACATAATCAATTAAACTATCCTCAGAAATTTAAAGAAAAGGTTGACAGAAAAAAATGGGAAAAATTAATAATTGAAGAGGTGTCAATAAGACTATCAACTTCAAAAATTCAGGGGAAGTTTCTTTTTTTTTTTAATATATGAAAATTTGAAAACAAAACAATTCAAAGTATCTGAATGAAACCACTGAAATTGGTCCGATTGGAGTTGGAAACTTTGTCAGGGCATCTGAAGAGCAAGTAAATTTGACACTGCCTCAAGAGCTGCTGCTGTTGCTGTTACATAACAAGACCCCTTCCCTTATCAGCCATACCTGCCATGCCAATAACCTGAAAGACACTTGACTGTCTAAAGAAACAAAGGGAGCGATTAGATGTGCTGCTGAAAGAAAACGGCGACACACTACCGATTCTGACACTTGTTGCAAATAAATTAATGTATGCCATTCTTGACAAAGCAAATCACCACAACACTAATACAAGGATGACAGCCCAGGTGCAATCGACGGATGAATAAAGGGAACCTTTCATTAGAATCCTGATCGAGCAAACTGTATAGTTCAATATTATTCAAAAGTAAAATGTGGCTTTGAGAAAGATCAAAAAACAAAGAATCAAAACACACCACTAACCTTCTCGTCAGTGGACCTAGAGCCGTCTGCTGAGCCCTCGTTTCCGGGGTCCCCTGAGACGCGGGTCCAAATAGGGTCCCTGGAGCCTGTGGACTGGTACCTCGCGCTGCTGCCAAAGCCCTTCCCTTTGCCTGACATTTTGACGATGACTAACTAAACGAAAACTAAAACAATGACATCCTTCACAACCCTAAACACGGACACCCACACCTCACACCCCTTGAGGCAGAAGTCCTTCCTTCCGTGATTGAATGTGAATGTGGATTTCCCTGTGTGGCCAGCTCGGAAGCACTATTTGCAGATTTAGTTCCCGTGTCGCTCCCCAGAGAGCGCAGCGGTAGCGGATGTGAGGTGGGGTGGGGGCACGACCGTCAACTGTCTTCAGTTGTGTCTCTCGTCTCTTCCGGTGCGTTCCGAAGACACACGTGTGAGTAGCGTCTCCTCCGTATTTTTGTAATATTTTGGAATAATTGTGAGATTTTGGACCTAATGTCCTACGCCTCATGGGCTCCAGCTTCCTGTTTCTCGATTACGTTTTCTTTTCCTGGTTCTATGTCACGATTTACTCGCATTGTCGATAAGTCTAAACCACTGTGCTTGCAGGCCTAACCGCGCCGCTCTGTTTTCAACTTTGGCTCATGTGTTAACGCATCCCCTTTTGTTTGGATAATATATCTGATTATAGCAGCTTTTCATTAATATTACATCCTAAATTCCCAAGTTTCGACTTGCGCCACCTTGTGACATGTCCTCTTCATGGGCAACATAACCCTCCGCGGGAGGCACCTGCGTGTACTCACACCGTAAGTCATCTTTGTCTTTCTTTGCTTTGCAGAAACATGGCGGACGCTGCGCCTGCCGCTCGTGGAGGTTTCCGAGGAGGTTTCGGGTCTCGTGGTGGTGACCGTGGCCGTGGCGGTCCTCGCGGTCGAGGCCGTGGCCGCGGACGCGGACGCGGCAAGGAGGCCGAGAAGGAGTGGGTGCCCGTCACCAAGCTGGGCCGTCTGGTCCGCGATGGCAAGATCCGCACCTTGGAGGAGATCTACCTCTTCTCTCTCCCCATCAAGGTCTGAAATTGCTTTTGTTTCGCAACAGGTCGCAATTTTGGTCTGTGGGATTTTGCGTCATTTTTATCTCTCTCTGTTTCAGGAAAGTGAAATCATCGATTTCTTCATGGGCGTGACCCTGAAGGATGAGGTGCTCAAGATCATGCCTGTCCAGAAGCAGACCCGTGCTGGTCAGCGTACCCGTTTCAAGGCCTTCGTCGCTATTGGTGACTCCAACGGCCACATCGGTCTTGGAGTGAAGTGCTCCAAGGAAGTTGCCACCGCCATCCGTGGTGCCATCATCCTTGCCAAGCTGTCAGTTGTGCCTGTCAGGCGAGGCTACTGGGGTAACAAGATCGGAAAGCCCCACACCGTTCCTTGCAAGGTGAGACGATTGTGGCTAAGGTCCGCATTTATCCACATGGAGTCAGCAGGCACTGTCTTACCCCTTGATAGTGCTAGCGTTACACCTGTGGTAGAGTAAGCCTGGTTGATGGTCTTTTAGGGTGCTCCGTTCTGGAGTAACCTAATCTGATATCTGCTTGGCTGTCCCTTGAGAGTTGATTCCGGTGCTGTCATCTGGATCTTAGTTTAGGGACGTACAATTTCTTCAATGCTGTATCGCAGAGTTATTTATCACCTTTCGTTATTGTTCATTTGTGTCCATGTGGAGTCAGCAGGCATTGTGTCAACTACTAGTGCTAGCGTTACACCTGTGGTAGATTAAGCCTTGCTGATTGTCTTTTAGGGTACTCTGTTCTAGAGTATTCTAATTCGATGTCTGCTAGGCTGTCCCTTGAGACTTGATTCCTGTGCTATCATTTGGATCTTAGATTAGGGACATACAAGCTTAATGTTTCTATAAGTTTTGATGTAACTACTTGACAAATGTAAAATCCTTGTCAGTAAAGCCTCGTAATGATTATGGAAACCCTGTCAATGCAATTTTCGCCCTCATATTTACTTGATAATGGTTTTCATTTTCCTTAATGGTTTTCTTTCTCTTTTTCCAGGTTACTGGCAAGTGCGGTTCAGTCCAGGTGCGTCTGATCCCCGCTCCCCGTGGTACTGGCATTGTTGGTGCTCCTGTCCCCAAGAAGCTTCTGCAGATGGCTGGTATTGAAGATTGTTACACTTCCGCCCGTGGTTCCACCGGTACTCTTGGCAACTTTGGTATGTACTCAGATACTAGTTATTCTTTAAATTGTTGTGAAGGGTTTCAATTGCTAATTTGCTGTGTTTTTTTTACAGCCAAGGCCACCTATGCTGCCATTGCCAAGACTTACGCGTACCTGACCCCCGACTTGTGGAAGGAGATGCCTCTTACTAAGGCACCCTATGCGCAGTATGCTGAGTTCTTGAGCAAGAACCACCGCCCTGTCACTCAGAGGCCTGATGCTTAAATAAACTCATTGGACTCCATTCCATCTCCACAACTCTGGATATTTATTTCTGATGTCATTTCTTGTGTGGTTGACAATCACACTTCACCCCTCTAATCCTAAGCCAAGTGCCCCCTCAGTCTACACTAACAACCTGACTTGATAGTTAATGATCTGAGTAGTGCTCCCCTCATGATTGTAGTCACATTAAAGGGGAGCCCAGTTACAAACATGGCTAATATTGACTATATGCCCAGTGTTTTGAGTTATTGCACCTTAAAATGAGCATAATAGGTTTCAGAATTGATTGGAAAGTTCTGTGACTAACTTTTCGGCTTTCTTGGGTCAATTATTACAATAGCTAATATGCTTCTCTGTAGTGTCATGTTGACTTAAAAAATTTGTTACCCTAAGACTTCCTGGTTTAAGCCTACATAAGGTGTTATGCTTGGAATCAGTTCAGTAATCTCTCATCTACAATTAAGTACGCTTGAAAATAAGTTGTTAAGTCCAAGGTATAAGAAGAATCAACCGGCTTCAAACAATTCTTTATTTACATATAAACTATAGGAAAACACTAAGGAAGACCATTACAGTAGAAAGAAAGTACACGTTGAAACACTTCTGGGTTATAGTCTTGTAGTTCTGGTCTTCCCTTAACATATGCACATTCACTGAACAAATCCATTGTTTGTGGAAGCATCCAAAAGATATTTCTTTCTTGAGCAGTTCCATCAAGATCCAATGTATTCAATTGTAATACAGCAAAGTGAAATCTTTTGTTATCTGTGTGAACAGCTTGAATGGTGATGGGTTCAGGCAATTTTTTCACATTATCCTGGAAGACATTCCACAAATTGAATGACAAGAAACTCAAAGTAAGGCACAACGAAAAATAAACTTCAGGTTTAACTTACACCATAAAGCTGCTGAGCTCGGGAAGCAGCGACTGCAAATGCCTTCACTAGAGTCCGAGAATAGAATTGGGATTCAGTCACTGGTTCCTCATACAAATTTTTCACCTCTGATGGGTCATAATGAAAGAATGCTGTGTGTGGATGGGACTTGGTGAAACCTTTTGCAACAGCTGTTTTGGGGATTAAAAACAAAAAAATAATGCAAAGATTCTTGAAGTTCTGAATGAGAAATAGAATCAATACTTGATGTTACATACGATAAATGCTTTCGTTGTGGTAGAAATGCTGTTTGGGAATTGAGACAGCAAAATTAAGAGGATGCAAATCTGGTAAGGGTACTGAGTTTCCAGCTGTTGAAGATGTTAGAGGGCTCATCGGACTGTTGGATGACACTAATACATCAGCTCGGTTGTTGATTTGAACTTGAATACCTAGAAATATCAATGAATTAAGTATACTGGATTATGTTAAAAGAACTGAAGGGCAGTACCCTAAAATATACCTTCTTTTACTAGATTTGCACAGCAATAAGCATCATGAATATGACTTCTTTCTGCTAATGAAGCATTTCCGGCCGCAAAATCACATAATTGCAACATTTGGGTAATGGTTAGCCGACTGTAATCAAACAAACAAACAAACAAATAAACAAGCAAAACAAAATACATCCATTGATATGAAAAAGAAGTCCATATTTACACAAAAAAAAAATATATATTAAAATAAAACTTACAATTTACGCTTGGCATCAATACCATAGTCACGAGCAAAGTTCCAAGCAGGCCTTTCGGGGTCTTTTCTTTTAGGAAGAACTACTTGCATTGCATCATAAACGTTTGAGTACATGACGAGCCTAAAACAATTTGAGACAGTTGTCACTTCTAGGGTTTTAATTGGGACATTTCTCAAATTCCTTTTACATTATTTCATGCTACCTCTTAACTCTAGTGTCTTGGAAGGGAATGGCACGAGTCCCAATGTTATCTTCCAACTCTTCTGGGAGACCTTCTTGAATTTGAACGGAGTTCAAGAGAAGCTTTGATTGTTCCAAACCTTCAAGCAACACATTACTGTCATCTATACAGAGACACGGGTCAGGTTTGTATAAAGGGTGACTCTCGTCCAGTTGCACTGGTTTGAACAGAGGCTCGCCAGGTTTAACATCATCATTGAATCTGGAGATTAGAAAAAAACAACAAATTTTGTTCAATTGCACAATTGCACATCATCACAAGTTTTCAGAGGATAGATAAAAGTGGAACTAACTCGACGGGGACAATTTCTTCTTCAACCTTTTGCAGAAACTCAGACGAGTCAACAGTAGGAAGCCCCAACTTTTTCACATGGATCAACTCTCTGCTTTCGGGGGCTTTCCTTCGTTTGATTTGCTCCCAGCGTAGTTGAAACACTCTGTATCGATTGATTTTGCCCAGTACTTGTGTCAGCCTCATATTTGGGCTGGGGCAGTACTCAAGTTTCCTAAAAACAAAGTGAAATGTACATTGATTCAAAGTATACAAAGTAGAATTCGTAGGTTAAGTTGCTGGTATAAAGTTTTACGCTGAATTGGTTACAAACTAACTAAATTTGAGAATTCAGGGTCGATTCAATTTTCAAGCCTGTGGATCTTATCCTTTGCCAAAACAAAAAATCTTCGTCAAATACGGGTAAGAAAGTTTTGAACCACGAGCAAGATTTAAAGCCTTCTGCGGTTAGGGGGGGAGGGGCGGCGAAACCATCCTGCCAATAATGTTGTCGTCTGCTAGGGAACAGATGAGCGGGAGCGCGGCGCGGCGCGGCGTCTGCTCTGTTTCGAACTTTTGCGAGTCGTCCGTGGTGTGTTTATAACTGAAAAACAAGTCGGAGGCATTTTATCATGGACAGTAGAGTATGTGGTGTGATGCTGATGATGATGCACCTACAGAATTTACAGGTAATGTATCCTATATTTACATGGAATGTTCTAGAACGGAGTACAATTGTCTGTCTTGTTTAGGTTAGGTGGCACTAATGGCACTTTGTTTGACATTTTGCATTTGTAGGGTGCCTTGTACCTTCTTTTAAAGATGCGAGAAAGGAGAAGAAGGAGGAGGTTGGTGGTTGCAGTATACCGACGGATGATGATGAGGAGGCTTGCACAAGCCATGCTGCTGGTCACAATTCTACAGCCGAGGCACCGAAGAATGTGGAAACGAGACAGATCCCAAGAATGGTGGAATGGTACTGCTCCTAATTTTGATGATGAACAGTGGCTTGAAAATTTTCGTGCACGCAGGCCTTCTTTTGATTATATACGTGACCAGGTAAGAGATGCCTTAGCACCAAACCAAACACCAGCGGATGGGGCAGATAGCTGATGTACGCTGCGAGGGAAAATTGAGAAAGAAACTAGACAGTTTTATCTGTACAAGCATGGACGCTTTTAATTTAAAAAAAAACAATTTGTACAGAATGGCTTTAATACAATAAAAATATGTTTATAATACACAACATTAAACAATTTTACATACTAGTAACAAGAATGTGCGTCATCATACCATATCATAAAAGATTATAATATGTGACTGCTAAATTTCTGAGGTACTATCATGGAGCATGAGCTCCATTTGATGAATGTTGACAGGAAGACGCCGTAAAAGACTAGCTGAGCCTGTGCGAAGGACATCAGTAGACTCTTGAAAATGCAGTGTTCCCTTTCAATGCAACCATAATACTTGCAGTAATGGTGACAAATGTGCACATTCTTATTAAGTGCTCAGAAATAACAAATGCCTTTAAATACATTAAAAAATATGGCATCAAGAATGTACGTACCCTATCACTTTAGAACAATAATGCTACATACCTTATGCAGCACTCACAAATGAAACAATGCTCATCTCTAAATTGGCAGCAGCCAAATGACAAGAATAATATTCAGTTCGCAAATTGGAAAACCTATGACTACAGCTATGTCTCTTTCCTGCACCAACTGATGAAATATTTTAAGTAAGGTCATTCAAGATTTTCCATCATTCAAGGTTGCCAAGATAATGAAGAAATGATTCTAACAACAAGCAATGCCTTAGCAAATGTGAGGTAAGTGATGCAGTCAGCAAAGTTAGCAATAAAAAATTGCAACTTTTTTTTAGAGAAAAAAAAAGAAGTTATTTAGAAAGGAGAAAAAAAAGTCTGACAAAGAGGAGTGCTAGTAAGAGCAAACATTCTTCCTTTGAGTTGGTGAGATATTTAGAAAAACCTTCTTTGAGAGGAGGTTGCTGTTTGTTGGAATTACGGAAGACATTGTTCACAATGCACCAGGACAAAATAAGCCTTTCATTTCATTCTTTTTGTTTATCACATTAGAATTTTTTACTAATTATTCAACATCACAGAGGTGCATTAAAATGTGATACATATTAAATGTAAGTCACATACAATAACGCAAGCAGACTAACTCCACAAGAAAAAGTCATGTGTACAAAAATAGAGAAAATCTACACGCATTACATTTAGCTGAGAGGTAGAAGTGCAGTTGAAATAAAAGATTTAAACCAACAAATAATGACTGAGTAAGATTATGAAAATCTTCATCTGGTAGATAATCTCAATTACTGCTATATCTGACTAAATTTCTGTTCTTGGTAGTTCCCCAACAGAGGATCCACACAAAAAAAATCAATGCAGGACTGAAACAAAAAAATCACAAAAGAATTGACAGTCTGCCAATGACACTCAAATTTATCTAAATATGAAAAAAATATTTTGGCCTTATAAGTTATATCTACTGTTAATTAGATAGTACAAATGGCAATTGAGAACTATCCAATGCAGGTTTCATAACCCTGTTATTTCTTTTTGTTGGCATGGTAACTACTGTACTTGCATACACTTACAGAGAAATTTCAAAAAGGGGTAAAAGGAGGAAAAAGACAAACAACCCTTTCAATTACTCGGAGGACTAATCTGCCATCAGGCTTATCTACAGTGCAGGAAAGGCCATCATGAGCAGAAGCCATTATTTTCTAATTTGTTAAATAGTCAAGGATCAAAATGAACTTATGTATAAAAGTGTTAATGAGGCTGCTGGATACCAGTGAGTCCCAAATATGAAAGGAGAAGGAGGAGCAAACCAGGTCTACTGAGAAAATAACACTAAAATGTACACAAAATTATCATTCTCCTCCAAAGATTTTAGAAATAGTCTGAGGCATTACACAAATTGAATCCTTAAAATGAAGCATAATGTAAATTTGCAAGGGAAAAAAAATCACAATTGCGGCAAGTGAAAAAGTTCATTTTCTACATTTATCTAAAATTATGACTCTTGATTGAATCATTTGTAACTGGATGGTGGTTAGTACATCTGAGCTAAGCACTCACAAGATAGTTATTACTAGAGATAGCTCATTCCACTTCTTGTCATGGATAAAATAAAGTACATAGCAGTCAAAACTTTCTGAATTCATAAATCACACCCCTGACCACCCTCTACAGCCTTCAAGAACAGCAACACATTTAAATTTATAACAAAAAAAAAATACTCACACAAGAGGCAAGACCCAATAGAATGCAACACCCATGAGACTTCTGACTGATTATCAAGATACTGTCCAAATGGATGCTTTTTTCCAATGAGTGTTTGAAAGAAATATTATTCACATAATGTAATATTGAGCACTGAAATAAGGTGGCAGATCAAATAAATCAATTTCATGTTAGATTGGGATTCTCAGTAAGACATGCAATAAAATGCCTGTGGACAGTGAGTTAAATACTTTTCTTGATCGACCAGATGTGTAATTCACTCAAATCCCAGAGAAGCAGAAATGCATGATGACGATCACTATACCATTGTTAACCAAAAATCAGAACAGTAGATCTAGACAAAATAATAAACACAGGTTGTCAAATTGTTAACATTACAAGGCTGAAAGTAACTGGCTCTAATTCACGCAAGAATCTGGTTCAAATTTTAAAATAACAAACAAAGAAACAGCCTTTTAAAAAACTTTGATACAGATATAAAGGCAACTTTGAAGGGACTACCTACAAAATTATAGTTACTGGATGGAAAATTATTATTTTGACTAGTTTTCCTAAAGACACAACAAACAGCTTCCACAGCGCAAGGAAGAGACTCATTGCCACACATTGTCACTGATATCAGTTTGATGTCTACGATGCTGAGATACGTAGTATGATTCACGGCATGTCAACTTTCATCTTGATTGGTGCTCTACACATAGGACATTCATGGAGTTGGTCAGCACACCTTGAGCAAAAGCCCCTAAAAAAGAGAGACAGATAACATATGTTATGAAAACTCCTCAGTAAACTAAGTACAAAATGCAGTGAATGCATCTTAATTTTACCTGTGGTGACATGGAACAAGTCTCACAGATGCTTTTTTGTCAAAGCAGAGAGTGCAAGAATCCTCTCTGACACTGAGCTTACTAAGTTGTTGCAAAAATATATGCCTGAAATGGGTGAAAAATCAAATGAGTACAATATTAGAGTGCACTTATCTTATTACCAAAGATCAACTTTCAAGAAATGTACCTTGGAAGGATAACCTTGTCTTCAGGATTTAGGTGAGCATTACTATTAAAACTTTTGAAATCTCGGTCAATAGGAGGAAAGCGGAATGGTTGAGAACCAAAGTTAAATCTACATTGTTGATAGGACATAAAGCTTGCAGCAGCAAAAAATCCAGTGCTGCAATGAGGCAAATGTCATTATTAGAAAAGCTCAAGAAAAATATTAAATGGCAAAGTCATCATGAAGCACATCCAACCTTGCAGTGTGGAAAACATCTGTGCAAGGTGGAAGGGGATCTCCATTGATATAAAATATGATTTCTTGCTTATCCATGTCAAGTAATGACCCTAGAATATCCCCAGGTTTCCACACATCTCTGTTTTGTTTCTGACTATGTGCTTTGTACCAGACCAAACGTCGGCATCCATCATAAGATAGAGAGTGTTCGTCATCACCAATCCCATATCCATCCTGAAATACGGTCTTCGGTTAAGAAATTTATCTGAGTTTCGATTTAACTTAGGTATATAGATCATTCTGTTAACATACGTGATTCAAAAATGAACTGTCTTTTGTGGCCCAACCAATTTGCATGACACCAGGAGTAATTATTAGTGTTTCATAATACCAAACACCACTATCAACCTGGAATGTGCAACGAACGCTTTCAAAAGAATAAGCATCACACCGTGCCTGCAAAAAAAGAGGCAAGTATTTAGCTCACTGGTGAACTTCAATTCTTTTATTGACAACAAATGAAGTTTAAAATTGTCAATGCCCTTACTTCCAGCCCATCTGGTGAGATTTTCAGGTACTCGCTCACATCCTTAGTGTTAAGCATAACATTGATACCTTCGACATTTACACATTGGTAAGAAAATACTCTGTCCTTAACAATAACTGGAAACAAAGAGATCAAACCAAGCATTAAAATTTTTAAAATGTCATTTTCTGCTAGAACAAATTAAGAGTAACAAATAGGAACACAATCTTACAGATATTGTCGAGACACCATTGTGCACAGAAGCCAACTTGGCGTTTGAAAAAGCATTGAGAATCAACCCATTTTTCTAATTGCAATATTGGGTGTACATCCATAGATTCTAATTGCTTATTGATAGTCACTTTGTTTTCAGCTAGAAAAAAGAAACAAAATCATTGTAATTATTCAACATTGAAAATGTTTACACAATGCCTCTCTTATTCAGTACTCACTGGTTTGAGCAAACTTTTCCAGAGCTATGAGGGAAAATAATATTACGGGTGGTTCTGCATTTGGGTCCTGCAACATAACGTAACTCATTTACAGTTTTACCTTCATCTGAACAGCAATAAAAAGGATGAAGAAGACTGGCTCATACCAAATTTTTGATAAGGTAGTTTAATGTTGTATCTGTCAAAATAGCTATGCTACTAGGTCCTGATAATTTCTCTGCTAATAACCCCAACAAGACGCATGTATTTCTATGTTGAGGTGCGCCTTGAGAGTAAAGTTGCATCGAAAGGTTGAGGATGGATGATAATTTCATGACACATTCCTGTTTAATACACAAAATAAAATAAAAATCTTTCTCAAACACAAATTTAAAAAAAAAAATTAAGAAGAAAAATATTTTGTTAAGATGGATATTTACCTTAGTGGGCAGGGGGCAGTCATCAAAGAGTAAAAATATGACAGCTGGACCAAGTGGGTGGTGAATTGGAATCACTCGAATCATGGAAGTAACAACTTGAATCCAACCATCTTCTTGATCAGCAATAGCATGTAGAGTTAATATTGATGATGGAGGTTCTTGATCTCTGGATAGTAGGACAAGCAGCAGTGATAAAAAAATTAAGATGGATAAAATTCTGCTTTATGTTTAAAACACAAAATATTTAAGAACTTACGTTTCAACATATGTATCTATTACATTTAAAGTAGCAAGTACTAAGTCATCTACCACAGTATCCAGAGCAGCAGCAGCTGAGGCCGATTTAAATCCACATTGAGAAATAGGTCTATAGTGGTCATCGATGAGTCCATTGCTGGAGCTGTTGGGCAGAGGGGTGGTGTCCTCTTCTTTACACACACATCCCCCCATCATTTGCTGAATAACCTGTGACGCAAAGAGAAGTAATTTATAGATATTAGTAGCACTGCTATGACACGAATATCATCTGATCTTAGCACAACATGGAACGTCCTTGAACAGAACTTAAAATAAATGAAATAGTGGTAATGGAAACTAACAGGACACTGGAAAAATTAAGAGAGGAAAATAATTGTAGTGACACAGTTAGAAGTGTTACCTAACGAAATCCGACTTTCCCTTGCTTTCAGTCAGGGAACAATCAACTGATAGGAGGGATAAAGCTAACTCCTAAACGACAGGTGGTAATATTAACGGAAAAGGCCACAAAAAAATCATACAGATATAAAAGTAAATTCAGAGGTTAGGGCGCAAGCAACAGAAGGCAGGTGGCACAGCCGACACAATCAGTTACACGGGAAGACCAACCTGATTATCAGGTTCAACACAAAATAGGATCCTCTGCAGACGACGTACCTTAAAATCGAATGGGAGTTTTCAGAAGGCAAAGGTTATGCTCTGCCGCAACATTCCACGGACTAATCTATAACCGTCTGTGCGCTAGTCGACCCACGGGCAGATCAACACAAAAATGTAAATAAGGTCACAGACAAGCTGTTCTCGCCCTTCATGCCTGCTCGAAAGATACAAATGCAATAATTCTGAGAAATTTTCTTCAATTCCTAAGTATTAAAAAACATGCGGACAATAACAAGAAGTGAAAGTCATATGTTTTGTTTTCCGATTTAGTGAAAGAGTACGGCAAATTTGGTGGGGGTGGGGGAGGGGCTGCAGGGGGGTGGAGGGGAAGGGGGAGGGGAGAGGGAAGGGGGGAAGTGAGAGTGAAATCGATTCATTCATTCAATAGGTCGACAGTCAAACGAAGCGCTACTCCATCTTGGAGAAGTCCTACTCTCATGGCTTCGGAGATGGAAGAAAAAAAGAAATACTGTCAGTCAATTCTTTATTGACAAAAACAGATCATGTGTCAGCTAAACAAACCCATCATTCTCTAATGAACACTCCGACAACCTCTCCAACCCTTCCAAAAGTTGGTACGTACTTTGGATACCTCTCAGAGACAGTCCAAAGTTCCTCCTCGTGTGTGGGGGAAGGAACGTTCGCTAACAGATAGACTGGGGCTTAACTGCCGACAAGAGTTCTGCCTGGGCGATCACACCGGGCACCGCTCTCGACTCAAAGCAAGGACTCGTCCCCATTCATTCACACCTGTTCGAACGTGCTAATCAAACCGCTTTAGCCATTTATTCTCGATTTGTGCTACTCTCTTGCCGCCGCCACTCCAAACTTCAACCGCGCGGGCGCGTCGCTTCGCACGTCACCCACCACCACCACCACCACACTGCGGCCCGCTCAGATGTTTGCGAAGTTGGCTCGCAGCTTGTTGGGTCGCCAAGTCGTCCTCGCCTCCGTTATCAAATCGCCTGCCCGATTCATCATGCCTTACACCACGATCGAGAGGGGACAGCCCAACAGCGTCGACTACCGTCTTTACATCCGTAAGTCGCCGTCGCTAGAAATTCGACTGGACGAGTGCACTCCCTCGAAATATTGAACAGTGTACTCGGTGGCTGCCGTGCCGGCGTTTTTCCCCCCATTTGGGTCGTCCGACCGTTGTCCCGTTGTCCTTGGCTAATGACGCAATTAGCTTTCCTGAGTAATACGGGCAGTATGCCTCCTGGCCTATCCTTGACCCGACGCAGTTGTAGTTTTGTCCTCGGTTGCGAAAGGGGATCTTTGTAGGTTAAGTGGATGCAGACGTCCCATTCCTGTAGTCTCACTTTGTATGAGCTGTAGGTGTCAGCTCTTGTCACTGACGTGCCTGTGACTCATTCTCAGCTCTGCATTTTTTGTGTCCCCCTAAACTCATCCTAATGTTTTCTTTTTGATCTCCAGAGGATGAGCAGGGACCAATCTCGCCACTCCATGACATTCCAATTTATTCCGATGCCGCCAACAAGGTGTTCAACATGGTTGTGGAAGTTCCCCGTTGGACCAATGCTAAGATGGAGGTAAGGACTCTCTTCTCATTTTTTGTTTTTCGTTTTATAAGCTCCAATAGCTTCATTTATTTATTTATTTATTTTTTTTTTCACTGATTAAACATTTTGCAGATCACCATGAAAGAGATCATGAACCCCATCAAGCAGGACACGAAGAAAGGAAAACTTAGGTTTGTTGCCAACTGCTTCCCCCACCATGGGTACATTTGGAACTATGGTGCCATTCCTCAGGTGAGCTTGCTACAATTTTGTATTTTGTGCCCTCATTTATGGGACGTCCATCTGACACCTTATTCTTTGTCAGACCTGGGAGAACCCCGAGCACCTAGATGAGTCCACTGGATGCAAGGGAGACAATGACCCTATTGATGTCCTGGAAATTGGTTACCGAGTGAGTACTCTACGTCACTTCAGTCTTCAATCCGGTACCATTTTTTTCCCTCCTTTCCTGATTTTTTTATAACTATTATTTATCAGGTTGCCAAGAGAGGAGAGATTCTTCAAGTGAAAGTCCTTGGCACTGTGGCTCTCATTGATGAAGGTAATTGAATCAAAATTTTGCGACCTGAAGAAAACTTTGTGCATGGTGACACCAAGGCTATTAGATTGAAACTCTTTCTCCTTTTTGTTCTTTTTCAGGTGAAACTGATTGGAAAATTATTGCTATTGATATCAATGACCCCCTGGCATCTCAGTTAAATGGTAATTTCTCAGTGGTTTAAAAAAACAAAAACATTTTTGTCGGCTTTTGAACAAAAAATTCCTACTCCTGTACTCTTTTTTAGATATCGGTGATGTTGACAAGCATTTCCCTGGGCTTTTGAAGGCAACCCTTGAGTGGTTCAAGATTTACAAGATTCCTGATGGCAAGCCTGAGAACAAATTTGCCTTCAATGGAGAAGCTAAGAACAGAGACTTTGCCCTTAAGGTCATTGATGAAGTGCACAAGTTCTGGCGTGCCCTTGTCAAGAAAGAAGTTGATGCTGGTGGCATTTCATGGTGTGTAGCTAGCTCTGTACCCTTCCACTTATCTTGCAATTTGCATGTGTTTATCTTTCTTATTTTCTGTGCAGTGCTAATGTGACAGTTGGAGACAGTCCATTTGCTGTTCAGCGTTCTGATGCCGTGGATGTAGTGGAAAAGAGCCCCAAGCCTGGAGATGCACTCCCCATCGAACCTATTGGTATGTGTCAATTTTCAAATATTTCCCAAATTATAACTTTCTTGATTGTGCCTTATTGTGCCTGTTGTGATTTCAGGCCTTGATACATGGCACTATGTCTCCCACACCAAAAAAATTTTCAAGCTCTAAGTGGTTTTTGCTCTTTTATCCATCCCCTTCCATTCTTCCCTGGTCTTGGGTGCATCCCTGTTTAAGATGCTGCAGTTGCAGCTACAAGATCTGCCATAGAAATAAGGTGCTCACATTAAAAAGAAATCAGTTCATCATTTTAATTTCTATTAATTTTTTATTATCAGATGTTGGCTAGTCCAGGCTCATTCCCTTTCCTTTCCCTAAGCTAGTGTTTTTTCAGATGTTTTCAACTGAGTTTTGTGGCTGATCAAATTGCATATTTTTTGTTACAGTGGACAAGTGGCACTATGTGTCTCTGAAGTAAGAAGGCACCTAACTTATCATGCGAAACTCGCTCTGCCAGTGCACCTGCTGCTAGTACTCTGCTGTGATCATCACTTCTTTATGTTACATTATTTGGGGATTTTAAGAAACAGTGCAGAATACTGCAAATAAAATATTGTTTTTTTAGAAATTTGTGGAAACTTTATTCACTTTACCAATTATGTCCTCATTTTGTTTTTGTGGAGAGGTGGGTGGGTCCAAGAAAACGCTGCAGTATTGTCTGCATTGTCCTCAGAAACATGACCGCGAGTCACTGGATAGCATGGCTATTATGGCTACCAAATGATTCCCCGGGACGCTCCGCCCTCTCATTGGTGAAATTGGCCCCAATCCGGCCCTTCACCGGTCAATATTCCGTCAATAGTGCGGCCTGAATGCCACGTTCTATCTTCCTAGCAATGCCGCCAGTGCACCTGCTTGCTAGTACCACTGCGTGATATCACTTCTTTATTTAATTTTTGGGGCTTTAGAAACGTGCAAATACCGGGCCAATAGGATATTGGCAGCCCCCTTTTGAAATTTGTGGCTTTATTCCTTTACAATATGTCCTCATTTTGTTTTTGTGGAGAGGTGGGTGGGTCCAGAAAAGCTGCAGTATTGTCTGCATTGTCCTCAGAAACATGACCGCGAGTCACTGGATGGCATGGCTATTAGGCTACCAAATGATTCCCGACGTCCGCCCTCCTTGGTGAAATTGGCCCAATCCGCCCTATCACCGGTCAATATCCGTCAATATCGCCGAATGCCAGTTCTATCTTCCTAGATGCCCCCGGAGCACTCAGTCATTGCGACGAAGCCACTGCGAGATAGCCCAACTGATTAATTAATTTCGTGATGGCGGCTGGGCAGGACGTTGCAATTATCCTGGTTCCGCAGGCATGAGGTAGTGGCAGTCGCCCCCTCCTGCGGCGTGGAGTATTGCCGTGTGGTCGGTGGTGCCTCTGGTGCCCGACCGCGGGCCACTAGGACTCCAACTTATTCGTTGCCAAGGTCAAAGTACAGTACCGATGACATAAGGCCCATAAGGCTGCCAATAAGTTCCCCCACCTCCATTCATTTCCTGCTTCTCATTCAACAGCGTTCAACAGTTGCCCCGCCCACGCCCCCCTCCCCCACCCACCCTCAGACCCACGACCCACGCGCCAGCTCAGCTCAGCTGTTCTTCCTTTGCTTTCCTTCACTTGGTTTTATCACACGGACCTCGCCGGTCACGGAACTTCCCCGTCTTTCTCTCTAATTTGAGAGGTCTCTCCTCCCCGTCTCAAGTCTGTCAAGCCAACTTGATCGAGGATGTCTCAGTTTGAAGGAAAGGTAAGTTGTTAAGATTGCATTGGCTTTGTTTCTCTGACATGGTACAAAGGTTAGAATCTTTCACCGGCGTGTCGCTCAGCATTTCTTCTAGTGATAAAATTGAGATGTTTTAAGAACTGCATTGGATTTAAAGAATCGAATCGGCACAATGAATTGAATTGGAAGAAAGAAATGAACAGTGAAAGCTTTCTAACGATTTGTGCAATCCAAAGAACAAACACTGCACCGTCTGTCATCGTTATCATGCGACCTTTCTTGATAACCGTGACTGATAGTTGGGTTATCAGTGAAACTGGTGCTTTCACCACCCTTATCGAATAAAGAAAGTTCTGTAGTATTCCCAAACAACTGTAGATTTGTTCTATTTTTGGAGAGTCATTTTTGGGTTGTACTTGAAACAAACTGTTGCAGGTCATCAAGTGCCGGGCTGCTGTCGCTTGGGCAGAGAAGCAGCCCCTCACCTTTGAGACGATTGAAGTCGCTCCTCCTAAAGCTGGAGAGGTACGATTACTCCTGGTACACATCTGTGCTAATTATCTGAATGTATCTCTGGGGGTTCTAACGTGGGCATGTTCACAGGTTCGTGTGAAAATCACATCCACAGCTATTTGCCACACTGATGCGTACACCTTAGATGGCCATGACCCCGAAGGCATGTTCCCCTGTGTGTTGGGTCATGAGGGTGGTGGCATTGTCGAGAGTATTGGGGAGGGAGTCACTTCTGTGAAGCCTGGTAAACATTTTGGTTCTGACTTTTTTTTTTCTCTTTGGAAGTTTCACTGTCTCATCTGAACTTTTGTTTCCCAAATTCCTTAGGCGATCATGTCATCCCTCTTTACATCCCTCAGTGCAGAGACTGCAAGTTCTGCTCCTCTAAGAAGACCAATCTCTGCAGCAAAATTCGTCTTACTCAGGTATTGTTTCAATTAATTAAAATGAGTTATAATGAAGTTTTCTTTTTCTTATTTTTGTCCTCTCCTTATTTCTATCTTTTATTTTCTGTGTAGGGCAAAGGTGTGATGCCTGACGGCACTTCTCGATTTTCTTGCAACGGCAAAACCCTGTATCACTTCATGGGCTGCTCCACGTTCAGTGAATACACTGTGTTGGCAGAGATCTCAGTTGCAAAGGTAAGTTGAGAACAAAAAGAAAAATTTTGTTGTATTTCATTTTAATGCTCTTTCAGCATGCAATTTTTATTTCATTTTAATCGTAATCCAATGACTGGGGTACGTTTTACATTTTCTGTTCCTCTGTAACAGATTGATGCAGCTGCTCCTTTGGACAAGGTGTGCCTGCTTGGCTGTGGTGTCCCCACTGGATATGGTGCTGCCTTGAATACCGCAGGGGTGGAGGCTGGTTCCAACTGCGTAATTTGGGGCCTGGGTGCTGTAGGTCTCGCTGTTGCTCTCGGCTGCAAGGCAGCAGGAGCTAAGACCATAATTGGTGTCGACTTGAACTCTGACAAGTTTGAAGTTGGTGGGTACCACTTTCTAAACAGCCGGAAAAATTTTTGAAACTATGGTTTAGAAGTTAAATTTTATTGTTTTGCTTTTGTAGCCAAGAAATTTGGATGCACTGACTTTATCAACCCTAAGAACCTTTCCCGCCCAGTTACTGAGGAATTGATTGAAAGGTTAGATGGAGGTGCTGACTACACATTCGAATGTGTTGGCAATGTCAAAACCATGGTAAGGAACTCAGTGAATTTATAAAAGACAATTAATTATGATATTTTATAATAATTCCTCAAATTTTGAACGCTGATTGATTTTATTCATTTTTTTTTTAGCGGGAAGCTCTTGAGTCTTGCCACAAGGGATGGGGTGTGTCTGTAATTGTTGGTGTGGCAGCTGCTGGTCAAGAAATTTCCACCCGTCCATTCCAACTTGTCACTGGCCGTGTTTGGAAGGGTACTGCCTTCGGAGGTAGGTTTGCCTTGAATTTTTATGCTTTATCATGCCCACTCAAGGATAAAAATTATACTTGAATTGTTTCCTTGTAGGTTGGAAGAGCCGTGACAGTGTTCCCAAGCTGGTTGATGACTACATGAACAAGAAGCTGATGCTTGATGAATTTGTCACCCACACCTTTACCTTCGACAAGATCAATGAGGCCTTTGGTGTTTTGCACGCTGGTACTGGGTAAGCCTTACATACTTTGAACAATTATTTCTGTTGATATATTTCTGTTTCTCAGAATTTAAATATTTAAATCTGCTTTCAGCATCCGCGCAGTGGTCAACTATTAAGCACATTGCTCATCAAATTTTCTACGAACATTGCTGTGTTACTTTTATTCTATTTTTGCTTGTCAATAAAAGTATGATGAAGATATTTTCAATCATGGTGTGAATTATTTTCTTTCTACACAGCAGTCAGTAAAATATAAATTCATTTATTTTTTTTATATACATTGACAGATGGACAGACTTAAGTTCTAAAAACTAGTTTTCCTCTTGCACCTCTGTTAGAGACAATTAAATTATGGGCATCTTTGGCAGAGTCAAGGTCAAACTCTGTGTCAATTATGGGATTAATCCACCCTGCATTGGCCCCTTTCAAAAGAAAATCTCCCATCTCTTGCATTTCCTCCTGAGTATAAAGAGCAAGTTATCAGTCTTGCTTTGTTGATGGTAAGAAAAAATTGAGATGTACAAGATAAATACTGACCTTTGTGTTTGCAGAGAGCTTAATGCCCACAATTGAAGCTTCTGTGTATATGAGATGCCTTGGAATAATTGTTACCTCGTTCCTGGAACCCACCACCTACAAAGGAAAAAAAGAATCCTGGTCAAATTTCCCAAAGAAAAATTTAAAATAGGAGAATGCAGTAGGAAAGAGCAATATTTTACCGCAAGTCTGGCCTTTTGGCTCAAAACCATTAAGTCATTGCCCAGGTTGACATGGGCCATATTTTCTAGGAGAACATCGAACCCTTTTCCATCGGTGACCTCATGAGCCTTTCTTAAGTGGTCCTCCTCTCTATGGTTGAAAACATAGTCAGCACCTGCCTTTCTGACCACCTCTAATCCTGCTTCAGTACCCGCCGTTCCTACCACACACAACCCTGTGAACAAACGGATATAAGGGTATGATTACACTTATAAATGAGGTCTACCAGAAAGTCAAATGGACATACCTTTGTGTTTGGCAAGCTGGACAGCTGCGATTCCTACAGCGCCACTTGCCCCATGAACAAGTAATTTCTCTCCTGGCTGCATCCTACATCTGTAATTTTTAAAAATTGTAGCCAAGGTAAAAGTTTGCTGGCAGATGCAGTTATTATCTACAAAGAATATTCGCTTAAAAGCGAATGCTCACCTACTTGATGACCAAAGCACGATATGCTGTGAAATATGGAACATACATTCCAGCTCCTTGAGAAAATGAAAGCCTATCTGACAATAAAAACGTATTGTCCTCTGAACACACTAAATTTTCTGCATAACCACCATTCCATGGCAAGCAACAATACACTCTATCTCCCTCCTGAAACCAAACAAAGTTTCATTTCTTACATACACAAAATAATTACCTACTAGTTAAGTACAACATTAGGAACAAAAAAGGGACTCACTTTGAATTTTGAAACATTTTTGCCTTTTCTTAATATTGTGCCTGAAGCTTCCTTTCCAAGTACAATGGGAAGAGGGGGAAGAATTGCAAAACCACCCTCTCGAGTGTATACGTCAATAGGATTTATACCACACCGTTCTACTTTCACCAAAACCTGAATAGGAAATAAGGAAATTTTTTATTGATTCAAAGTGGCAGAGTTCCAAAGGTTTTATGAATTTCTTGCGCAATCCAACTCCCATTTTGGATCGTTCTTGAAACTTACTTCGTTGTCTTTTTCTTCAGGTACTTCAATGTGATCTACTTGTAGAACCTCAGGACCTCCAAATCTATGAATTTGCACTGCTCTCATAAGAGACCGGATACTGGAAATAAAACCATTTAATATTACGTAAAGTTTGGTGATCCCAAAGACGTTGAACACAACCAGGTTATGGCATAAATGGTTTTCTTTGGAAAAAGTGATCCGAAACTTAAACAAGTTTTTAATTGCACATTTTTAAGTTTGAATCTTGTTGACAGTAGCAGAAAAATACACAGTTACCTAGTTTTATGAACTGATGAAATTTGTGAGAGTATGGTGTGTCCATGGCTCCCAAGTTTTGAACACATGATGGACTTTCCGATTGCTGTCAGCTACTTTTGGTTAAAGAAAACGAAAATTGCAAAACTTCAAAAGCTATGAGCAAGGAAACTAGCTTCTGACACGGATATATTTACACGGCTGGCCGTGTCCTAAATTAACTTCTTTCCAAGGTACTTTGAACTGGCAGACGACACGGTCGCTTCTGACACATGAATTTCTCATAGAAGATGAATAGCCGCCAATATTTCAAAACACTTTTTGTGTGGTTGGCAAGAAGCTACTTTTCCGCCCGGGGCAGTGAGGGGTTTGGGCGAAAAGCGATGCACAAATTTGGGCAAATACACAATTCGTCTGCCATAAAATGCAACTGGGATAATGGGTGTATGTGAGAGGGAAAAGGGTGTTGCAGAAAAACCATGAGTAAATAGACATATAATATATTTGTCTTTAGCGTATCTGTCACAAATATTTACGTACCATGGACAAATTTCAGTGCGAGGATTAATCTGAATTTCATTAGAAAACTGGCAATTAAGGAGTTCTTACCCTACCATATGCAAAGCAATGATAAGATATCTAAATAGCACTCCTCTTGTGTTTTTTCAAATGATTCTAACATGAAACAACAAACAATAAATATGAATCTTCTGTACAAGTTTCTAACATTATCACAGACTATTTAAAAATAATATGTTAAAATTTCAGAACGAGAAGAAAATCCTTACAATATAATTTACAAGTTGTGCTACTTACAAAATGAGTTATTATAACTTATTAACAATAAATGGTGCAATGCAATAATATCCTCTGTAGTCTTATTTGTTACAAAGAATATGAAGCATCATAGATAACACTAACATAAACCAATTTAAATTTGTTACACACTGCAAATTATTCAATCTATCCACAGAGTGCAACAGGTTTTGATGGATTAAACAAAATGATAATGAATTTTGCATAATGCTCTAAGACTATATTTTATCACTGGTGAAAATCAAGAATGATATGACTACTCTAACAGGACAACACTGGGTGGGCGATCAATATGTACAATGCCCATGCAATATAAAAGGCATCAAGAGTTTATTTGTCAAGACAAGTAAAGTTTGATACTTAAAGACACAATTTTAAAAAGAAAAGCTTCAATACATGAAACCAAAGGCCCACAGATGTAGATAATTATCAGGCACTGAATACAGCTTTTAATCTCGTTTCGGTTAATCATAAGACACCTCTTTCACTAGGGTATCTTAATTTACACATTGGGCATGATTTCAGCCTCTGTACATGTAACGATCACAAAACCAGGACACTAAGTCAGAGGGAGGAACGTCAATCCAACATACTATAGTCAAAAATAAAACTAAAATACTAAGACTGAATTTATATTCTGGAAGATTTGAAAATTTAATTACTGTCTTTTATGAGAGGCAATAGCCACAATTGGTTTACATAATTAATTAAAGAACCAAATTTTTAGAACAGTTGGCAGGATGAAAACATTTTTATCCACAAAGTTAGCAGAGCAAAAAAATGAAGTGAAAAAATTTAGACATCAAAACATTAGATTGAAACATTGTCAAACTTTAAGATTCACAGCCTGTGCTTCATTAAAGAACAGTTGAGAGTTAGAAGACAGGCCATGAAAATGAACACTGGGTAAAAATGGACTAGTAATTCCATACTTTACAGGTCTTAATCCAGTTTGTCGTATTGCAGAATGCTAATAAACAAAACAAAACAAAAAACGAAAACAACAATCAAGGCACCAGTACTTGCTACACATCGAATCAGTTGTATAATGTCACTCCTGTAAAAGGACAGCTCAAATATCAGCTCTGGTACCAGAGCTTCATCAGTCTTTACCATTTCTCATTTCGCACAAGGCCCAAGTGATTTTTTTTAACAACATAAATTACCAATCCAGTTGGCACACAAGTATGAGATGGTGAGTGAAGTTTATGAGTGACCGACTCAAAACCAACATTCTTGTGGTGGACCAAATGGCAGCCTCAGTGCGACGAAAGAAGAGCCCAATTTGTACAGCAAATACTGGCACAGCACTACCGGTGGAAGCCGAGAAAGTCTGTCAAACGGTCGTTCCAGTCCTGCAGCCATTGCGCTAGTGGGGTAGGCGGGCCTGCTTTGGTCGAGTTGCCAGGCTCCAATGGCATGTAGTCCTCCCCTCGTATGCAAAAGTAACTCTTGATGGGGCTGCGGCACATTGGACACCTGTCCAACCTGGAAACGAAATGTATTTTCAGACTATGTGTTAACCAAAGGGAAATCCTAACCCTACTGTTCCAGATTTAAGAAAAATGCACAAGGCACTAGGCAGACTGTCTTAAAGGTTTGAGGTAAATTCCAGAAAAATTTTTCGACAGATCAAAGCCCATAAAAAATTATTGTTCTCACCTGTTGAAGCAGCCGGCGCACACGCAGGTGTGCCTGCAGGGCAGCAGCGCCCTGGACAGCGGGTAGAACTGGCAGACGACGCAGAGCTGCTCCTCGCAGAGCAGCGCGGCGCGCACGCCGTTGGCGCAGCCGTTGCCGCCGTTGGCGTTCAGTCCGTGGCCGGCGAGTCCCAGTGGCGTCAGGCCGTTGGGGCAGAACGCCGTGTCCAGGGGGCTCGTCTCGTCGTCGTAGGACGTCATGGCGTTGCCCGTGGCCAGGTACAGTTGCTGCACAAAAGTCGAGCAGTTTGACGGAAAAGACGAAACCACAATGGAAGGTGAGCCGGCCGGGCCGACCGATACACCGCAGAGATGCGTATCGGTTCGCTCGCACTGCAGTGCACTGGCGGGGTGGCGTCGGCAGAGCCATTTCCCTCTGTCCCTCTCGCACCTATACGAAACGCCGCAAGAGCGCGAGAGAGACAGAGCGACGAAACCGCAGCTCGAAAAGGTGGCGCCTACCTTGAGACACGACAGCTGGCCGTTGGCCTGCTTGAGGTACTGCGCCAGGATGCTGGTGGGCAGCGTGCACACGGAGTCCTTGATGTGCACCACGTTCACCAGGGCCACCGACTCGTCCGGGTGCAGCTCGCCGCCCTGGCCGTCGTCGGGGTCGTCGTCGCGCACCAGGAACACGACGAGCGGGTAGCAGAGGCGCGGCGGCGTGCCCAGGTCCAGCACGGACGACGGCCTGCCCTGCCCGCCCTGCCCGCCCTGCGCCGCCGGGCTGCAGGGCCGCGGCAGGCTCAGGGACACGCAGCGCTCGCCGTGGCCCGTCGAGGAGCTGCAGAGACAGAGAGCACGATTAGCAGTAGGGGATCGATGACCCCTCACAGTGGGCCAGAAGAACGGCGCAGGCGGCCAAAACTCTACGCGCGTTCTGAGCTCCAGAGTCGCTATGTGGGACTCGAACCGAACGTGTGACCCCACCAATGGATTCCTCGTTCGAAGAGCAGTCCATTGGTGGGGTCACACGTTCGGTTCGAGTCCTGCTTAGCGACTCTGGAACACTGTCCCCACGGTGTACTTACTGCAGGACGGTGCCGGCCTGCTGGTAGTGGCCGTGCAGCAGTTGGCCGCGTCGCGCCGCCTCGCGCACGGCGCTCCAGGGCCGCCACAGGAACAAGTGCAGCTCCCGGATGGAGACGCCCCACAGCGCCAGCAGCGTGTAGGGCACCTGGCTCGACACGGAGCACTGCACGTCTGCAACACAAGGAGGCGCGCCACGTGAAGTCTCCACTCGCTTCGTACACATCCCGACAGTGCACAGGCGGCCAGCGCCTTACGGGCCGAGGGTAGGCAGTCCCGCCAGGACGGCGAGCTCGACGGGCAGGCCTACCCTCCAGGCGGGCCGTGCTCTCGAGGCATGCAGACTGATTCCGAGAGTCGTTTTCGTCGCTCTGTCTCTCCCGCACTCAAGGTGCGTCCCTTACAGGTGCGAGAGATACGGAGCGACGAAAACGGCTCTCGGAATCAGTCCGCCGCGCAGTCGCGCACGACGCGTAGCGATAACGGCGCGAACGTGCGAATCGGGCGCGCACGCGACTCGCCGACACGTGACGGACGCGTGCGGAGCGCGGGGAAGGGGGAGGGGGAAGCGGGGCCAGTGCCGCCATGGTGCCGCCATGGTGCCGCCATGGTGCCGCCGGCGCGCTGTTGTCTATTTACTGTTTACCAGCGGGCCGGAGACCTGAACGCACTAGCGGCAGTGGCCGGACAGACGGCTCGGGCCGGACAGACGGGCGTGCCGGCGTGCCCCACGCGACGCGGAGCCTTGGCGATACCGCCGACACCGTGTCCAATAACCCCCGACTAGGTCAAGCGCGTCGAGGGCGTGCGCTTGCCTTCACTTCACTGCAGCCACTTGCAGTGGACTTGCACTCAGCGGGCGACTTCCGCATCCCTGGAGCAGACTCCTGCGGCGGAGTTCCGGTGCGTTCGCGCACACACGCGCATGCGTACACACACACACACACACACACACACACACACACACACACACACACACACACACACACACGCGCACAGTGCACACAAACAGGCCGCGCGACCGGCCGGCCGGCGAGATTGGATAACCTTGCCGGCTCCTCTTTCGAGCGGCAAATATAGGAAAACTCCACAAGTCGCTACACGGCGCGCTCGGCTCGGCGGGCGCGCGGCGCGGAGCGGTACGGCGAGGCGGGCGGGGCGGGCGGGCGGGGCGGGGCGGGGCGGGGCGGGGGGGGGCGGGGCGTCCCGGAGCAAATACGGCGACCCCAGCCGAGTAGTTCCGAGCCACTCGCTGCCCGGAGAGGACCTCGCTGCACCGTAACAGAGTCCTGGGGAATTATCACGTCGCGGTCGCACCGCGGCGCCCGGCAACTCGCAGCGCTTTCGTCGCTCTGTCTCTCTCGCACTCGCGCGGCGTCCCGCGGGGGAGCGCGACAGAGACAGAGCGGCACGCCGACCCGCGACGCCAAACTCCTCGCCTCTTCTTCAAGCAGGACGTCGAGGAGCCTCGCGCTTTTTGCCTGGCTTCACGCGCGCCGCGCCTTCGCGCCTTCGGGGTTTCCCAGCCCCGTGTGTGGCACACTGTGTGCCCAATGACTAAGAAGAGTGACAGAGAGAGCGACAGCGCGGACAAAGAGCGCCGCCAGTAGCGAAGCGCGACAGACAGGAAAGTGTTCGTCGTCGCTCTGCCTCTCTCGCACCCACACGGGGCGCCCCATGAGTGCGAGAGAGACAGAGACAGACATGCAGGGAGACGGCTGGGCGCTGCGCTCGGTGCGCGCGGTCGGTGGCAGCACACTGATTCCGAGAGCCCTCTCCATCGCTGTCTCTCTCACCCCAATGAGGGCGCCCCGCGAGTGCGAGAGAGACAGAGCGACTCTCGGAATCAGTCTGCAGCTCGGCAGCAAGGCGACAAGGTCACCGCTCGCGTGGCCGGCTGCCCGGTGCTGCCCGGCTTGTGATTAACCAGCTCACCTAGGCACACCAGCACACCCATTCCGACCAGTCGTTTCTCGCCCCGTCTCTGTCGCACTCGCGGGGCGTGCCGTAGGGGTGCGAGAGAGACGGAGCGACGAAACGACTCTTCGGCATCGCTCGCTGCACGGCGAGCTTCAGCCAACGGTCGCGCCGCTCGCCGCGACTCGGCGGACCCCGGACCGTTATCGCCTTGCCACCCCCTTGGGGGCGCCGCGGGGCCGCGGAGCGAGCCGACCGCTTTACCGGCAACGGGCCGCACAGTGGGCCAGAAGACCGGCATCGTGCCGCCGGCCAAAACTCCAGCCGCGTTTCGAGCCCCAGAGTCGCTTAACAGGACTCGAACCGAACGTGTGACCCCACCAATGGATTCCTCGTTCGGAGAGCAATCCATTGGTGGGGTCACACGCTCGGCTCGAGTCCCATTTAGCGAGTCTGGAGCTCGCGTCCGGGATTTGGACCGCCTCCACCGGTCTTCTGGCCCACTGTGCGCCGCCGTGCCGCGCCGTGCCGTGCCGGTCCCCAAATAGAACCAATCCGATGCGAGTGGCGCTGCCGGCACTGCCATTCATCTGGCGAGGCGCGGCGGCGCGGCGGCGCGGCGTTCCGGGACCAGGCGGCGTAACCGGCACCTCGCCGATGACGCCTTCGTTTTGTTTTCGCGTCTCGGCGCCGCGTCGTCGCCCCGGCAAGGCGGCAAGGCGGCAAGGCGGCGTCTGGCGGGGCCAGAGGGGGGCCTGCTGCTGCACTGCAGTCGGGCCCGCTGCCCGCTGGAGCCGTGCTGGAGGCACGCTGGAGGCACGCTGGAGGCGCGGCGGCCGAGGACGGGGAAGGGGACGGACATGGGCTGCTCCGTGCTCCGCGCGCTCCGAGCTCCGCGTCGCTACGTGACTCTCGGCAGGTCTCAGTCCAGATAACCTGGCCGGGCCGGACTGGACCAGTGACCAGCCGGCCGGCCGGCCGGGCGTGGCGCGGCGCGGCGCGGCGGAGCTGGATTGGCGGCAGACACGACTCGCGACACGACCCGGGCAACGCACTGCCAGGGGCTCCGGCCGGACGGACAGCCAGGGGCAGCCAGGCCCTCCCGGCGCCGGTGCCTTTGCCGGCCGGCAGCCGGGGGCGGATCCAGGCGCCGCCCTCAACTCCTCGGTGGATCCGCCCTCGTACCGCACAGTGGGCCAGAAGACCGGCGGAGGCGCCCAAGACTCTAGACGCATTTTGAGCGCCAGAGTCGCTAAATGGGACTCAAACCGAGCGTGTGACCCCACCAATGGATTCCTCGTTCGGAGAGCAATCCATTGGTGGGGTCACACGTTCGATTCGAGCCCCATTTAGCGCCTCTGGAGCTCAAAACGCGTCTAGAATGTTGGCCGCCTCCACCGGTCTTCCGGCCCACTGTGCGCCGGCCCCGCGGCTCAACGGCCCAGCGGACTCGCTGCTCATCACAAAGAAAACGCGGAGCGCCGAAAACGCATACCGCGGTGCGCTCACTCCACTCCACTCCTTAAGATGAGCACCTCATAAACAGAGTCATGCATACACATGCATGCGCACACCTCTCACGCGCGTCAGCGAGGGCCAACGAGAGCGGTGACCCCAGCGCCCCCCCCCTCCCCCTTCCGCCTGCCGCACCGGCCCCACAGTGGCCCCACGCATGGGTGTGCAGCAGGCCGAGAGTCGTTTTCGTCGCCCTGTCGCTCTCGCACCCATACGGGGCGCTCCACGAGTGCGAGAGAGACAGAGCGACGACTCTCGGAATCAGTCTCAGTCTGCAGCCGAGGGCCCAACGCGACGCCGAGAAAGAAGACCGGCGCCAACAATAGCAGCCGCGTCGCCCGGGTGGCCTACCGTAGGGGTGCGAGAGAGACAGAGCGGCGGAGGGCGGTTTGCGAATCGATGGCGCCTGAAGGACCTACCCTGCATCGATTCCGTCCATTCCGTCCCGGTTCGAAGAACGCGCCCGGCAGCACGGGCAGCACGCCACCAGGGCCCTGTCTCTCTCCCACTCGCACCGCTCCCGGGCGCCGCTCCACGAGAGCGAGAGAGACAGAGCGACCGGCCCGGCGAGGCGGCTAGGCCGGCATAGCTGGCATTGAGCTGCACGCGTCCATAATGCCAATTCAATACGTGCCGGCAGCCAGCAGCAGCCGGGAAAGGCCCGGGCCGAGTGAGAGAGAGAGAGAGAGAGAGAGAGAGAGAGAGAGAGAGAGAGAGAGAGAGAGAGAGAGAGAGAGAGAGAGAGAGAGAGGCGAGGGGGCCGTCCGTGCGCCTTGTCGCGTTCGTTGGCTAGATTGTTCCAGTGATCATAGCACGCCAAAGCTCGACCAAAGGACGTACGTACGTACTTGGTGTCGTGCGGCTCGACACGGCACGCAGAGGTGCTATCGTGCACGAACACACACTCGCTCTCTCTCTCTCACACACTCACACGTGAGCGCGCAGCACAGCGGGGCGTCCAAATATTGGCGGTGGTATGGTCCGGGTGGTGCCGGTTCGGGGCACACAGAATTTTTAGCGGGATGCTCTCCCTCTCTCTCCCTCCACCGAAGCCGGGTCCGCAGATAAATACTCGCGATACGGCCAACCGGCACGCTCATTTCGAGCAACGCTTCTCTGTCTCTCTCGCACTCCTCTGGGCCCTAGGGACGCCCCACGAGTGCGAGAGAGACAGAGCGACTGCCGCCCGGCCGTATCGGACAGCGGCGCTGCAAGGGCAGCTGCAAGGTGCAATGCTTCCGTAAACACAAAAGCCCAGCCACCGCGGAGCCGGCACGCCGAAGGCACGCTGCACAGTGGGCCAGAAGACCGGTGGAGGCGGCCACAATTCGAGACGCGTTTTCAGCCCCAGAGCCGCTGAATTGGACTCGAACCGAACGTGTGACCCCACCGTTCGGCGAGCAATCCATCGGTTGGGTCACACGTTCGGTTCCAGTCCCGTTCCGCGACTCTGGAGCTTAAAACGCTTCTAGAATTTTGGCCGCCTCCACCGGCGCACTGCGTTGGAAGTTTACCCAACGCATCTCGGAGCAGCACCGACGGGTTTATCGCGAACGATAACAATCGACAATCGCTGCGGCTTGCCACCACTTTCCTTCGGTCGAGTCGGATTAACTCACGCTGCGGTAACCAATCTTTTTTATCCGTGCGACCCGGCACGCCGGCACACCGCCCGGCCGGTATGCTGGCTATGGCCATTTCCGGGACACTCACACACTCACATGCATTCACACACACACACA